TGTCAATATACTATTGGTGAATAAGTGTGGATGGCTCCATAAGTTTTGATGGTTCCATAGCAAAATCTATATCTATATATATCTAAAAAGGTTGATGTAAATATCATTTTTAGAAACCTAAAATAATTGAGTTGACTTTTGACTTTCTATTTATGTATTCTCAATCAAATTATGAAAAAAAAATCGTGATAAGGATGATGAAATTGATATTTCCGTTAATTAAGCATGGAATAATTCCATTAATTAAGCAAATGAAAGATGGAATGGATAGTTCCGTTAATTAAGCATTGTATATTCCCTTTTTTTAAGCAATGGAATCTGATCGTTGATATGAAATCTGTTTTTTATGAAATCAATTGTGAGGATTTTTAGGAAATCTGTTCCATATTCCATTTAACAATCCTTATTTTACGTGAAAATAAATGTGTTAAATAAATGTGTTGTTTCCTTATTTCACGTATGGATAGCAATGGAAGAGTTTTTGTTTCCTTAAATTGCGGATTATTTCTCTCCAAATGTGTTGCAGATTATTGCGGATTATTCTCACTGTCACCATACGTTAAAGGAGCAGCAGTTCCAGCAATCAAACCCCACCTCACTTCTATTCGGTACAATTCTTGATTCTATTTCTTTTTTTCAGCATGAACTTCATGTGAAACATTTATAATTTCAATTTCACTGTATACTAAAATCCATTGTCTAATTTGTGTTGGTTCTTGAACTCCAGAGCTCGAGCTCAAACGGAGCTGGAAAGTATCCTTAAACATGTGAGATCTTTTAATTCAATGGGATCATTTGATGATGGGTTTTTTCTTCTGCGTTTAATTTTTGTGAAGATGTTCCCATTTGTTTATTTTCTTGCAATTTATACGAAAGGTTCGAGGAGACAAATGTTTGGTGATTGATCCGAAGCTTAGTGGGTCTCTGTCACTTCTGGTCCAAAGCTCGGAACTGAAGGTATTCACTGTTCTTGTGAACACTCATGGGTTATTATTGTGTTTTTCAAGATGTTAAATCACTGAGTTTTCTGGCTTGGGGTGAACAGTAGCATTTTCTATTACAACTGTTGTGTAAATCTCTTAACTAGACTATTGGTAAAAGAAGGAAAAGGTATAATACTCTCTCTAATTATCTTTCCTGGTAATTTGTAACTAATTTTATATTTTTATCTAAATAGAAAGCTTAATTATACAAATAAGTAGATAATAATTGTTATCTAAATCCTTTTGTTTTTTAATTTAATAATAATTAAGTGATTAATAAATCTAGGGAAGGGGAAGAGATTTTGTTCCAATTGTAGACTTTATTAAAATTCGAAAATTTATCGTCTCGAGCCTCGGAAGCAATATCCTCAGTATGGCCGCTTTCAGAGATATCACTTTCTCGATCATCTTCTCAGTATATATGATCAAAGAATGACCTAAGTATATATGGTTCAGAGGATGAAGATGAAGAGTTAAAAGGAGAGGACAAACGAGAAGAAGAAGAGGAGGACGAAGAAATTGGCTGCTTCTGAAATAAAAAAATTATACATTTTTATTAGCTTTTAATAAACTGAGATATAAATATTCATTTCCATTATTATGTTGACTATAAAGTAATATATAAATTCATCCTATTTTATAAAGGTGTCTTCAATACATATTAATAGTATGCATTCAACTTCAAATCGTCTAATTCTGAATGAATTAAATTATGATCGAAAGACTCTCGCTGCTGAACACGATATACTTTTTAAGAAAATGACTAAGTAATAGAAAGGAGTATTAGCTGGCTCAATTTTAATTTACGGGGGAGAGCTAACAGGCTCAATTTTAACGTCCCGACCAAAAAATGACGCTGATGAAAAGAGGTGGAAAATAGATTATCCAACTCTATTATTTTTTAGGCCTTAACGATCAAGCTCTATGGAAATGACTCATTTAATATCTCTGCCTCGTGCATCGCACGAGCTACTTAACGGATAAACGAAAAAATTGGATTATTTTATATTTTGACTTACTAATTGTGGAAATGCTATTGGAAATTTATATTTTGACTTACTAATTGTGAAAATGCTATTGGAAATTTATATTTTGTGTTATAGAATGGATATATGTTATATCGAGAATATCTATAAACTTTATATTTAAAATAAATAGTAGAATAGATACAATCCGAATATCTAAACCATGAATATAGAATAGTTTCAAATATACATTGTGAAGATACGTGTTAATATAGTAAACTAACTAAATATGTCTACTTATTAATCACGCCATTAACATCTTTTGTTAAATTTATTTAAAATCTGTTCTTTTGTTTTGTTAATCACGCCACTAACATCGGATATGGTTTGTTTATAATTTGGCATCAGATTTTAACGCAATTCATTTATCTTCACATGCCAAAATTGAGGAATTATTTGTGTCCATTCACGCGCAATTGCGTACAATATTTTTGGTTAATATCCATTCGCGCAATCAATACATATTTATCCTCAAATTTTTTATGCTAATATACTACAAAATTTTTTCCCTATTTTTCGTTTCATTCATGCACAATGGCGTTTAATCTTTTTGGTTAGTATCCATTCACGCGCAATCATCCCATGTATTTATCCTCATATTTTTTTGGTTAATATACTACAAAAAATTTTCCTTATTTTTAGTTAACCTAAACCACTAGATAAATACTGTATAAAAAGGTATTAATTCATGCCTTTTTTTTTTCATCTCCTTCCCACCGTGGTTCATAAAAATATAGAGATAAATTGCTACAATACAGATATAAATAGCGTGGTTCTTTGATACCATCGATTCCGTCAATAGGATCAACAAACCTTTTCTGCGGTTGAGAATAGTCCGAATTATTGAAACACATCACGATCGGGAGCCATCGAGAAAGGTGTCCCACTCGAATAATTGTTTTTCATTTGATTGACTTGGAGTAAGTATTTACTTTTTTTTATTCCCTTAATATCATTTTAATATTTGTATGTATTCAATTGAGATTCAAAATTATTGTAGGGAGAACAAGTTGAGTTTGCACTCTTTGGAATGATTATGTTGAAGAATTCCTTCAACATGAACGACAACATGCTGGGGTTGATGGTCGCCCATGGATAATGATAATGAACTTATGTGGAGCAAAACCCTATGGAGGTTTATATTTTCTACTTAAATAATTATTTATTGTCAAAATATTCGATTGTTTTTATTTAATCAATATTGTGAATGTAGGTCGTGTCCAACTGACAACATGCTCATCGTTGTCGCATGTTAGTTTATTTCTTAAGAAGCCTGTGTTCAGCCATGGACAGTTATACGTTGATGTATCTCGTGTCACCACCCGAAGTGGTTTGAAAATTTTAGTTTGTGGTGACGATGACTCGACGCCAAATCAAACGAGAAACGTTTTAATAATTTATGAATTTTGTAGTTTGCGCCCAACGTGTTTACTTTTGTTACAAATATAACAAGTTCACTAAATTTAATCATTAATATTTCTAAATGTTTTGAAATATACCATCCCGTGCATCGCACGGGTAATTACTAGTAGTTAAAGGCAGGGTTTAATCTGAATAAAAAGTTGAAACTAAAATAACAATAATAGTTATTATTTTAACTTTAAATAATAGGAATTATCCATGCGTATGTACGATTGTGCCTCTAAAACTTTTTGAGTATGAAAAGGTTTTTCAATCCACAAATTATATTTTCAAAATAATTGACTTAATTAATTGATCGGCTCTAAAAATTTGTAATAATTATACGCAACTTTTATAATATTACTCCAATAGTCTTGAACTTTGTTCAAGCATTTCTATCAATTGCGTGACAATTTTTAAAATTATCGTTTGTTGAAACTTGAAAATACATGATATTTGACATTCATGATCATTATTAGACTATTAGCCATGAGCCTCTATTTCATTTCATATATTGACAAAGTAATTCTTATCGCCTTTGATAATATATAAAAGAAAATATTAGAGCTAGAAAATCTGTTCACATTGTAATTAAATAAATGAAAGTGAAACTACTAAATAAAGAGTTAATATATCCACTTCTGAATTTTCTATAGGTATATA